TTTTCTCCAGTCTTCCAAGGATGCTATTTATAGCTGGATTGGATAATCTATCCGTTGAATCAAAATAGACTATCCGTTGCATTTGCTGGCTTCAATTTTGAATGAAGATTGTGATTTGAAGATTCCTCATTGGAATGGGTGTTTGGACATACCCAATTGTTTAAGGAGGGATTCCTTTTTCCACAGAATCCGTCTTCTAGCTATTGTTCAAGAATTCTAAACTGTAGCACTTTACTCTGTTTGTCTTCTAGTGCTTGTTTAGGAATTCTGGACAGGCTCTTCAATTTTTAGAGGTCCAGACTTTGTCTTCGAGTCATTTGTTCTTGAATCAGCATAATTATCTTCAATTTAGCCGTTGAAAATCAAGAGATTGATTTTTCCTTACCAACGGGTAGAATTTCTTCATTCAAGACTTAGATAATTTTCTAAGTCTTTTCTCACTTGTCCGCTTTTTGAGAATTCCGGTCTTTCTTGAGGCATCCGGTTCTTAGCTGACAAATCCGGAAGAGTCATACTCAGTCTTCTGGGTGAGAAAAAATCCGCGCTAGTCTTCCGACTTAGCCTTCAGCGGGTTGTAGCGAGACATCCGGTTCTTTATGTAGTCTTTTGGATTGGAGGATTTTTGTCTGCTTTGAGAAATCCTTACTTGTCTCTGACATTTTCGATCAAGATATCCAATTTCCAAATTACTGAATTTGATTAAGCCTTCAGGCATCAAACTGCTTAAAGAAATATCACAACTTTATTGGAAATCTCAAGAACTCGGTTTTAACAATATTTCTAAAAAGAAAAATTACATTGAATATTTGGGGAGACCTAAAGTCCCTATTACATTCTAAATACATCATCATCAAAATCTATAATATTTTTCCCAACAATTTCCCCCTTTTTGATGATGACAAACAAGTGTTTAAGAGTTCCGGTCGCTGTACTGAGAACTAATTTTATAACTTTCTTTTAGTTTCTCATAATATACAACTTGTTAACAAAAACTCTTAAACAAATACAATTCAAATTACAATAATTCCTAAACCAAGTCTTGTCTTGAGATTTTGTGATATTTTCCATCATTAACTGTTTTCAGCTTCAACAGAACTTGCTTGGCAGAGCGGTTGGCATTGCGTTTGATAGATCTTTAATATCCAAAGTGGATATTCAAGATCTAAGAAGCAACACATCTCTCAAAAAAGGAAGAAAGATAGAGAGAGTGTTGTTCCAGAGAAGGTGTATGGTGTAATCCTAAAAAATACAAGATTTTCACCACAGACCTTCTCTACTGCCGAGATTCTCACCATAGACCTTGAAAGTCTTTTCTTCTCATTAGGCTTCTTCCATTGCCGTCTATGAGGGTGAGAAAGAAAAGTTTCTCCATTGAGGATATTTTTCTTGGTGTGTTTCTCAGACAGTGAGTTTGAAGACTTTTCATATTGAACGAGTTGTTTGTGATAGGAATGGATTGGGATGTCTTGATTTAAATAAGAGAGGAGGTAGAGAGAAGGGAGGTTCACGGGTTTCATCAATTGGGTAGATGGAACGGTGAGAGTAAAAGAGTTTCAACTTCCAAGAAATTGAAAAGTAGAAGGAATCTTTTACCAATTACCAATGAATTGAAACTGTTCCAATTTGAAAATCAGTTTTGTTTGGTTTGAGAACCATGACTGTTTTAGTTTGGCTAAGCCCAAAAGAGTGGCCCAAAAAGAAAAGAAAGCTATGTACTAAAGGGAAATTATTCCTATTGGGTTCTCAAGGCCCAAAATAAAACTATCATTTTTCATTCCCTATAGTTCTAATTTCTACTTAGGACGAGGTTGTACCAAAACAAATATGAATTTTATTTTTAAAAGAAAAGCGATACTATTTTTCCAAAGTCCTATACATTTTAAAAATCCTAAGGACCAGTACTTTTAGAGCGTGTTGGAAATGAATTAAGGACTAAAGCTTAGTTTAAGAAGGCAGATTTTGTAAAGTACCTGAATCGGAGATTTCCAATTTTAGTACCAAAACTGAGATATCCGTCTTCCATTGCTTAGAGCTCATCAATAATTCATTGCCAAAAACAATTGTTAGCCAAAAACTAGTTAAGTTCCCCCTAAATTACATTCCCCCTAAATGTATGCGCTAGGAATAAATCTCAAAATCATACTTGAAATAGGCAAAATCAAGCATAGTAAGCACAATTAAGAGAAATATTAAAGCAATGTTTAAACCAAGAAGGTGTTTTCATCAAAGAAAATTAATGTTTTCACATACTTTCCCCCCTGGTTTGATGAAGAAAACCTTTCGTGCTCCTTGCGCTTTGAAGATCCGGCAATCTCCCTGATGCCTTGCATGTTTCCACATAGTTCTTTGATGTGCCTTATGTTGTTGCGTCTCTCCTCTGTTTTGTTATCATTTGAGAAGTGAGTAGCAATTGTTCCTACAGCCTCTGTTCCATCCAATCCTGAGCTGGATAGGTGCTGTGTTGAGTTTTCCGGATTACTTCTCTGAGCGTCAAGGATTAGATCAGTCAAGTTCAGATGTGTAGGAATGTAAGAGACTTCTCCTTCTTTGACTACAATAGGGAGCTCTGGAATCAAGGATGGACTGTGTTGTTGAAGAACCACTTCCATCTTGCGATTTCCAGAATTTGTGGTAAGAAGTCTGAATAGTTTGTGTGCTTCCTTCTGATTGTCAATGATTACCTTCAAGTAGTCTTTGGTTAATACTTGATTTGCTGAAGACACTGCTAGAGCTGCTCTGATGTCCATTTGGAGAAGGGACATTTGTTTTTGTAGACTAACTGTGACACTTGCTATTTGCTCTCTGATTTTGTTAACCTCCTTGAGTTGAAGATAACTGTCAGATGCATATGTCTCCATCGTGTTGCTCACAGTGTTACTTAATAGAGAAATGATCTCTAGAGTCTTATCCACTGATTTGCTTATCTCCTTGAGATTGGAGCAGTGTGTCTCTTCAGATTTCTCAATCAGTTTGTTGTACCTGGCTTCAATCTGCTCTACCTCTTGCCTAAAGGAGGCATGTTGAGATGCTAGGGCTGATTCAATCAACCCTTGGACCTTCTTTTTCCAGGTTTCCGGTACCTCATCCGGAAGACTAGAAATAGAAGAGCTATGGAAATGGAAGTTGGTTACCTGATGAGAAGAGGGTGTTCTTTGGAAAAGTTGAATAGGAAGAGTTTCAGCATCTTCTTGCATATCTTCATCATCATTGATCCTCAGAGTCCTTTCAGATTCATCTTCTGCTTCCCCTTGTATAAACTTTGATATATCCCTAGAGAGGGAGTCTCTTTCTTCAGCTTCATTCTGTTCTTCAAAAATGGCTACTGGAGATTTGGAGGCCTCCAGTTCTGCCATTTGAGTTTCCTTCTCAGCTTCTGCAGAACTCCTCTGGGCTTCTACAGTTTGCTCTTCTTGAACTTCATTTGCTTCTGGAGGTTTGGACATCTCCATATTTTCTGCTGACTTCTCCGGAATCTCATTTTCAGTAGGATTGGTGATCTCACAAGTAATTGTGAGAATTTCTAAAGCTTGAGAATGGAGAAGTTGCTGGAGTTCTTCTTCTGATGCTTCTTGGTTCTGTTCTTGTGGAGTAGAGGCTGCATTCTCCTGGTCAGCTTCAGTCAGAACCTTTTCAAAGGCAGATGAGGTTTCCGGACATATTTGGAAATCCTCAGCTGTTGCTTCCAAGTTAGCCTGTGCTTCAGAAGTGAGAATCACCTGATCTTCTGTGGTTTTTGAGAGGACTGGTTTGTAGACTGCAGGATCCTCATCATCCACTTCAAATTCTGAAACTGGTGAGGTGACCAAGTGTTCTAGATGCAAATCTTCATAGTTCCTTTGCCATACCCAGTCAACATCCAGGATTTGCTCACAGCAATAATTGACTGGCAGACCTAAGCATTTTTTGATGATCTTCTCATTCTTCAGTTGCCTGTCCCAACTCAAAAACTGTTCTGCTGAATTTCCAACTTTCCAAGCTCTCCAGTCATAGTAGAGCTGCCAGAATTGATTCTCAGCGTCATCAATTTGAGGTTGTGAGGAAGTTGGAGAATTCTGAACTTGAGGAATTTCTTCTTCAAGTTGTTGAGGACTCCGGTTGTGGGCAGAGGTTTCCTCAGCTGGTTCCTTCTCCTTCAACTCATCCGGATTGACATATCCAGATGTTGAGGGAGAGGTGATTTTCCTCTTCTTTTTCCTTTGTAGTTCTCCTTGGGCAGAGATTTCTTCTTCTTCAAGATTGATCAGAGCAAGATTCTGTGGTGCTTCAGCACTGGGAGAGGGAGACACCACTTGCTTCCTCTTTACTGACTTGTTTAGACTCATGATAAGGACATTGTCTGAAGAACTTTCCTCTGCAGTTGTGCTAGCACCAGCTCTGTTTTCCCCTTTGGAAGACAGATAGTATAGCCTATATCTGGCTTCATACTTCTTTCCTTCAGAAGCAGCACCCAAGGACTCCAAGATATGTCCAATGTACAGACCTTGACAAAGGTATTTCTGGTTGGGTTTTCCCAGATGCTTTGAGATGGAATTGAAGAAATGTGCAGCCCAATTTACCTTAGACTTGGTAATGAAGGCATTGATGATGAAGGCCCTCTCTTGGGTGATGTCATCAGCATGTCCTCCACTTCCACACTCGAGGCATGCGATGACCAGTTCAAGGACTAGCTTGTAGTCGTTGTTCAGATCAGCTTTCTTCGCTGGGCCAGAGGGAGCTTGCCCAGAAATTCCAATAATATTCCAATCCAGATTCTTGGCTGGAAGTCTCCCAATTTCAACTCCAGAATTGGGAAGGTGAAGCTTTTCTCCCAATTTCTTCTACGAAAGCTTCACTTTGGTCCCTCCAACAGTGGAATTGATGACTTGAATCGTCCTCTGTGGGTCCTTCTTCGATTTGACAGTCTTGACCTTTCCATTCTTGTAGAATTCAAGAACTTTGTTCTCATACTTGAATCGAATCTCCATATGAAGGAATTTGGAGAGCTCTTGAGCAGCAATCATCTCCAGATAGGATTGATAGAACGTTGGTGAGGAGCACTTGGCTTCCAACTTATGGAAATGGATATTAGCGCCAACAATCTTCATTTTCTCAGAAATTTGAGTGAGAAGATCTGAAGAAATTAGGGTTCTTGGAGAATTTTATCAGAAGGTTCTCGCGAAGAAGACGATGAAAAATTTGAGTGGGCTGAGTGGGCAGTTGAGATCTAATTATAGTGGCGATTGGGTTTAATTTGGGTGATTTATGCGGCTAGTGGCGATTGGGTTTTTAACTGTTCCCAAGGCCACGTGCCCACCCATCATTTTGACAGACGTGGAAAGTGAACTGCCACGTGTACCGCACTCAGTCTAATTGAATTAGACCAATTTTGTGAAGCAAATCGGAAAACTTGGCTTCACTTAGTGGTTTTGTGAAGATATCCGCTAGTTGTTCTTTAGTTGAGATATACTCAATTTTGATATCTTTCTTTTCCACATGATCTCTGATGAAGTGATGCTTGACATCAATGTGCTTAGTGTGAGAATGATGCACTGGATTTTGTGAGATGGCTATAGCACTTTGATTGTCACAAAAGATTGTCACTTCCTTTGTCTTGACTCCATAGTCTAGTAGTTGTTGCTTCAGCCACAGAATTTGAGCACAACAACTAACAGCAGCAATGTAGTCTGCTTCTGCTGTTGATGTAGAAATGGAGTTTTGTTTCTTACTAAACCAAGAAACAAGATTTCCACCAATGAATTGACAAGTACCAGATGTACTTTTCCGGTCAACTTTGCATCCGGCAAAGTCAGAATCTGAGTATCCCACTAACTCAAATGAATTGCTCTTAGCATACCACAAACCCATGTTCTAAGTTCCTTTGAGGTATCTAAGAATTCTGTTAGCTGCTATCAGATGACTTTCCTTTGGCTTTGACTGGAATCTGGCACAAACACCTACTGCATATGAGATATCCGGACGGCTTGCAGTAAGGTAGAGTAGAGATCCAACAATTCCTCTGTAGAGAGTTTGATGTACATCCTTTCCATCTACATCCATATCAAGCTTGGTGGATGTACTCATGGGGACAGAAACGGATGACTTCTGGTCAACTTTGAATTTCTTGATAAGATCCCTTGTGTACTTGGCTTGGTTGATGAGAGTCCCTTCACTTCTCTGTTTGATTTGAAGGCCAAGGAAGTAGTTGAGTTCCCCCATCATGCTCATCTCAAATTTTCCTTGCATGAGGGTTGAGAACTTGGTGCAGAGATCTTCCTTAGTTGAGCCAAATATGATGTCGTCAACATAGATTTGGACTAACAGGAGATCTTCTCCGTCTTGTAGTTTGAACAATGTCTTGTCAATGACTCCTTTGGTAAATCCATTGTTTATAAGAAATTGAGACAATGTATCATACCAAGCTCTCGGAGCTTGTTTGAGTCCATACAACGCCTTTTTGAGTCTATACACTTGATCTCCCTTAGTGTGTAACTCAAATCCTGGAGGTTGTTCCACATAAACTTCTTCTTCGAGGTTTCCATTGAGAAATGCGCTTTTGACATCCATTTGATAGACTTTGAAGTCCTTATGAGCAGAAAAGGCTAGAAACAGCCTTATAGCTTCAAGTCTAGCAACTAGAGCGAAGGTTTCATCAAAATTTATACCTTCTTCTTGACAATTTCCTTTGGCAACCAACCGGGCTTTGTTTCTGATAACAACGCCGTTTTCATCCATCTTGTTCCGAAAGACCCACTTTGTCCCAATGACATGTTGATGAGTAGGTCTGGGAACAAGTTTCCAGACGTCATTTCTGGAAAATTGGTTGAGTTCTTCTTGCATTGCATTGATCCAATCAGAATCAGCTAGAGCTTCTTCAATATTCCTTGGTTCGACTTGTGAGATGAAACAAGCAAGCATAGCTTCTAGATTCTGCTGAGCACTTCTTGTGCGAACGCCAGATTGAATATCTCCAATGACTTGTTGGGGAGGATGATCCCTTAACCAACGAAGATTGTGTTGATTAGGATTGACTGGTTGATCTAGTTCAGCTTCTGGTTGAAGAACAGAAGTTGTTGGTGTTTCCGGATGGATTGGCACTGGGTCGCCATTTCTGGAATTGTCGCCGTTTGAGTGATCCAGAATATTGGAAGGCTGGCCAAGATTTCCGGTAGGCTCAGCACTGTATGAATCCGGATTTCTCTGTGAAGTCTTCAGTGTTAGACTTCTGAATGGAATGAACTCTGTAGGCTTCATTCTATCTCCTTCATTGACTTCTTCATCCTTGTCAGATTGATCCAGAACCTCATGATCATGCTTTGATGGCTTGTCAACCACATGTTTTTCATCAAAAATAACATGTATTGACTCTTCAGTGATCATGGTTCTTTTGTTGAAGACTCTGAATGCCTTGCTCACCGTAGAGTATCCAAGGAAGATGGCCTCATCTGATTTCTCATCAAAAGTGTTCAGATGATTCTTCCCGTTGTTTAACACAAAGCACTTGCTCCCAAAAATATGGAAATATGATATATTAGGCTTTCTCCCGTTCCATAGTTCATAGGGAGTTTTGTTGTGCCTTTTATAAATCATACTCCTATTTTGAGTATAGCAAGCTGTGTTAACAGCTTCAGCCCAGAACCTCTTTGGTAAGGAAGCTTCTGCTAGCATTGTTCTCACTGCTTCCTTCAGGGTTCTGTTCCTTCTTTCAGCTACACCATTCTGTTGAGGCGTCCTTGCTGCAGATGTCTGATGAAGAATTCCGTTTTCTTCACAATAATGAATGATGATTTCATTCAGGAATTCTGTGCCTTTGTCAGATCTGATCTTCTGAATGGTCTGACTTGCTTGGTTTTGAATCAGCTTCATGCAGTTGGTGAGTTTCCCTTGAGTCTCCTTCTTGCTGTTGAGGAAGATTGTCCACGTGTATCTTGAGTAATCATCAACTACCACCAGGACATATTTCTTTCCACTTAGACTTATTGGTGTAACAGGGCCAAATAAGTCCATGTGAATAAGACTTAATATCCTTGTAGTTGAGGGTGCCGGTTTTGCCTTGAAAGTAGATTTGACTTGCTTTCCTTTCTGGCAAGCATCACAAATGCTTTCCTTCCTGAATACAGCTTTGGGAAGGCCTTCTACTAACCCTTCTTTGGATAGCTTGTTGAGAGTTTTGAAGTTGAGATGACTCAACCTCTTATGCCAAAGCCATAGAAGGTTAGTGTCACCTTTGCTGATTAGACATGCTTCCTTGACATCGTTCCATATCACTTCATAGATGTTTCTGATTCTCTTCCCAGTGAGAATGACTTCATTTGTGGAGATGTTCTTGAGAGATGCCATGTCCTTGCAGAATTCCAAGGAGTAACCTTTATCACAAAACTGACTTATGCTAAGAAGGTTATAATTGAGTCCTTCAACATAAGATACAGCTTGGATGGTTAGTCCCTTGTACACCAGATTTCCTAGCCCTTTAGTAAGGCCAAAATCGTTGCTTCCTCCAAAAGTAACTCTTGGACCATCATAGGGAATTAGATTGCTCAAAAGGCTCGCATCACCCGTCATGTGTCTTGAACAGCCACTGTCTAAGTACCAGACACCTGGGTACTTAGCGGCTTCCTGCATTAGGAGGAGGAAGATTTTGGTACCCAATTCAGTTTGGGTCCGGAATAGTTAATGGTGTGTCACTACGCCAAAAACAGCATCAGACGACTGTTGATTAACTACTGTTTATGGAAACACAGTAGTTGAAAAAAAACAGACTACCGTAAGTTTTTCTTGGCAACAGAACGGTAGTCTAGCTGCTATGCTTTAAAACTATTTTTAAAATGTCGAGAAACCGTAATGTATCATTAGTTGTCTATCTCGGTTCAAAATACAATTTTTCTTACAACAGTTGTCAATAACAAGTTAAAAATACTCTATTTAAACAATAGTCTGTGTTTTTATTTTAGAACTGTTTTTAAACTTATTAGAAACAGTTGTCTATTGTTTGTTGTCTGTTTCATATGGTTTTTTTGCCACTGTTGTTTATAATAAGAATAGATGACTCTTTTATAACAATAGTATATGAATTATGGGTAGAACTGTTTTTGAAGTCGTGAGAAACAGTCATCTATTATCAGTAGTCGGTTTCGTAAAAAAATACAATCTTTATTGCCACAGTTGTCAATAATTAGTTAAGACTACTATTTCCTAACAGAAGTCTAGTTTCTCAGTGTATAACTATTTTTAAACTTATAATAAATAGTAATGTATTACAAGTAGTGTGTGTCACACCGTTTTTTTCATGGTTATCTATAATAAGTAAAGAAAACTGTTTTTAAGAGAATTGTGCATATTAAGCCTAAAACTATTTAAAAAGTTAAGAATACTCGTTTTAAATAGCAGTCTAGTTCTTACGCCTAAAACTATTTTAAAAGTTCAGAGAAACGATAATCTTTTTTACAATGAAAATGTATACGCTCTCTAACTTTACATTCATACTTTCGGGCAAAATTTGTACAACAATCAAATAAACGTTGTTCCAAACAACTATATGGACATGAAAAAATAAATACTTCCATTGAAACAAAAGAAAAACTACATGTCCCGCTACACACAAAGAGAATTGGGAACCCATATAATTAATTAATCTCACATCATAAAACCAAAAAACAATAAGAAGATAGCGAGATGCAAATAAGAGTACACAAAATTTATTAAAAACAAAATTAAGAGTACATTGAATTTCTTCAATCCAAAGTAGAAAACAAACAAAACACAAAGAATGAAACTCCATATTCTAAAATTACTGAAATTAAAGAATAAAGACCAAATCGTCAAGGTAGGAGTGCCAATTACACAGAGCTTGGTTTATTACCCGCTGTTAGTGGCATGGCAGTAGGTCCAGTTAGACCACCCTCAGCTGTACTCAAACCTATAACACTGGTGTTGGCTTTTTGACTTGAAGTGGTGGCTTGAGCTAATGGATTTGGCTTGGCAGTAGCACTACCAGGGTCTTTGGGCCATCTCCATTTTTGAGCTTCCTAGACCGTCTTCTCCAAGCTCTCTTGGGGGTTTGGCCACTAGTTGTTGTGGTTAACGCCCCATTATTAGTCGGTTTATACCTCCTCCAAAGAGCGTGTAAGGCTCCATTTACTAGACAGTCCATGCCTCTTCTAGACTGTCCATTTACTCCTCGTGTTTGAGGTACTGTAACTGAAAAAAACTAGATAGATGCCTCTTATATACATTCTTCAAGAAAGAAGTCTTAGCCAAAATAAAGAACTATAACCAAAACTTGTGGTAACATATTAGTGATTCAAAACAAAAGTCATGAATAACCCTACTCAAAAACCAAAACCATAGCCATGAATTGCAATTTGTAACCCGTGAAGCAAGAAAAAAGTTAAAATGAACTATGAGCATAAACATAGTTCCCAAAAAAGATTTATTAATAGAAATTGTGCTTTCAACAATTAAAGCATACAAACTTCTAAATGAATGAAAAAGAAACAAACAATGGAATACTTGTAATAACTCCCTGCCCTAAAAACAAACAAATTTATAGTCTAATTCTTAAGAATGATAAACTATACTTATAGCTATAAAAAATTGTAACAAGTTTATAACATTTATAAGAAAATACAATAGAGAAGAAAAATCAAAATTAGTACCATTTAGAATCGATACCTATGGATCTCGAGGCATAAAATGTAGTGGAGACTAATCCTAGAGTATGATATACATCATACTTCATTTAACATATATTTTTTCAAACGAACAATTAGAACAACAAACAATGACTAATTTTCCATCAAGCTACCCTCACAAGATATATTAGAAGACAAACACCAAAATCAGTCAAGGCCAGGCAGTCCTCAACCAAACAGCAAAGAATGAATAGTAACGAAGAACATGAACATTGTAACTGACCAAGAACCATAGAAAGTGGAGAAAACACAAACAAGAAACCTGGTTAAAACTGGGACAAAACAAGCAGCACTATATATAGATGTTAAGGTATCCGGCAATCTGTCCAGAGTAGTCCCAGCAGTGGCCAAACAGCATCCAAAAACTAGTGCACCCCTGTCCAAAAGCTAAAGGAGGAGCCCAAACACTGCCCAAACAACACTCCATTGCCTCTCCCTAAAATGTACTCAGCAAGAAGTGCCAATAAGGGAACCTTCTTTTAAATATTGGATAGTTTGGACTAAGGGACTTCTTAACACAGATGAACAAACGCAGAACAAGAACAGTAAAATCGAAGAACAACTTTTAGGAGGATCAACACGAGTTAATTGAATCACAATTTCAGTTATAGGCAACAAAAGACCCCTTAAACTCGACCAACATACATAACAATAACATAGTTAATTGACGCTGGAAAAACATAACATAGTTCATATTCTCGCCACAAATTTAAGCTCACTTTAGATAGAAAAAAAAATATTCATACACTACAACTTAGAATAAGTGACTAGTTGAAGCATTTTACCCTAATAGATCATTTGCTCGCGTCCTTTCTCAATCTCTAAAGGCTCTCTCTCTATCGATTACAATCGATCTCTCCCTCTCTAACCCTCTACTCAATCTCTTCTCTATCGGACAAGAGATGGTGATGATAGATGTTCTCTATCATACGAAAGATGGCTGTGATTTTGAAGAAGATGGACGGAAATTATCTCTATCGGACGCGATAGACCAAATTGCGAAATTGGGGCTGGCGGGCAATGAAAAATTGGGGGAGGGATTCTAAAATTTGAGATGAACTTGAAAATTTTTAGAAACATCAATCTGATTTTTGAAACAAAAAAGTTTCAAACTGGAACGATAATATACTGAACCGAAAATTGAGTTTTCAAATATTGCTAACAAATTATATCCTGAATCAAACCGAACTAATTTTAGAATTGTACAAAATGGGTTTCCAAAAAATAAGTAGTGAAAATGCCTAACCGTTACCACTATAATAGTAAAATAATAAATTAGTTATACATTTTTTTGTTAATTGAATTTCTTACTCACATGGATCTAATTCCACAAGATACCCATATTTTTGACCGTATAACATCATACCGTTACTGATAACTAGACTAGTTACTTGCACAGTTCCAATTTGGCTGATTAAATCTTTAAATTCATCAAATCAGATATAATTAGATCGAATCAGACCAAAACAGATCTAAGCGAATCAAATAAAATCCAATAAGATCAGATCAAATCTTGAAAATATCTTTTTACTTGTATAATTTGTGTCATATTTGCCTGATCTAATCCTTAAATGCATCAGATCTGATCTAATTAGATCGAATCAAACCAAAACAGAACTAATCGGATCAAATCTTATGCATAAGGATTAGATCATGCAAATAGGACACAGCCTATACAATAAATAGATCTATTTGAAGATTTTATCTAATCTTATTGGATTTGAATTTCATTGGATTCGATTAAATCTGTTTAGATCTAATTTGATCTAATTAGGTCCGATCTGATGCGTTTAAAAATTAGATTAGGAAAATAGGACACAAACTATATAAAAATTTAGATTTACTTTGAAGATTTGATCTGATCTTATTGGTTTTGATTTAGATTGATCCAATTAGATGTGTTTTTGTCCAATTTGATTGAATTAGGTCCGAATGCATTTAAATATTATATCAGGCAATTATGACACAACCTATACAAGTAAGGCCCTGTTCCGTTCAACTTATTTTTTCTTATTCTTATTAAAATCAGATCAGATCAGATCAGATCAGACCAGATCAGATCAGATCGAATCAGATCAGATCAGATCAAATCAGATCAGATCAGATCAGATCCAATCAGATCAGATCAGATCCAATCAGATCAGATCAGATCCTATCAGATCAGATCAGATCCAATCAGATCAGATCAGATCCAATCAGATCAGATCACATCAGATCAGGACTTATTAAAATAAGATCTCATCAAGAATTATTATTATTATTATTATTATTATTATTATTATTATTATTATTATATTATTATTATTATTATTATTATTATTATTATTATTATTATTATTATTATTATTATTATTATTGCTCTTAAAAATGAAAAAGAATAAACTTTAGAAATAGGTTAAATAAAAAGCTGGGAAAGTAATCCTTAATTATTAGACGTCGGAAAAATTAGTTTTAAAATACATTGACAATGTCAATCTAATTCTACTTTTAAAATATATTTTTATTGCTACTTGTAATTTGAGTTTCTAAACTTTTGATCTTTTATAAGGATGAGATATTTTAATAAAAATACTATCTCTTCTATATATTGATTATCTAAATTTAATTACTTTTAAATGTATATCTAAATTAAATATTTATTCTAATGTATAATTCTAATTTTACAAAAAA